GCACAACTTGCACAACAAAAATCTCCAAGACGGCCCAAGATGGCATCCAAGACGGCCAAGATGCCTCTAAGTTCACCCAAGATGGTCCAAATGGCCTCGAAGACGGTTCAAGAGGGTACAAGACGCCTCCAAGTTCCCTCCAGGACGACCCAAGGAGGCCCCAGAGGCCTCCAAGAGGCCTTCAAGACCCAGGAAGGCTCCGAAGAAGCCCAAGACATTGATGCTCCATCGGTATTACAAGATTTTGGCAGTTGCTTCTTTCAGGCCTTGCGACGGCCCGAGACGGCCCAAGAGTTGCGGATGCCACGACAATGGACACCCTGACAGTCCGATCATTGAATTTGACATGTGATTTTAAGATGTAGGAAAAATGTCAGAAACATGTTCTAAACTGGTTTTTGATGTTTAAAACACGTTCAAAACATGTGTTGGACGTCTGGAAATCATTTGGCGACGTATTTCGTCTCCACTGATCGTACTCCACAACCCAATGCTATAAGCATGTTTCTTGATGTTTAAATCGGGAGCGGCCAAGAGGGGGGTGTCCAAAAGGGGGGGGGGGGGGGGGGGGGCAAATCATGACCGGCGGCATGTGCGCGGCCCAGCGGGGGGGCCAGGGACGTAATGAAATAAGAAGAGGCGCCATGAAATCTGGGGAGATATCATGGCCGACACCATGAGATCCACCCCCACTAGTCATCACCCCCCTCTTTTCCGCCCCCGAGGTTCTTGATGTTTAAAACATGTTGTAGGCATCTGCGAAGTATTTGGCGACGTGCTTCCTCCCATTTTGATCGTCCTCCCCAACCCGAGGAGCCCCCCAGAGGAGCGAGGGGGGCAGGAGGCCGAGCGCGCGCGGAGCGCGGCGAGAGCCCGAATGGGAGAGAGGGGCGAGGGGGCCCCGGGAGGCTCGGGGCGGGGGGCGAACGGGGGCCGAACGGGCCACCTCGAGACGAGAGTGGGACACACAGAGACATGCTAACACTACATGTCCTCCCGAATATATATATATATATATATATATATATATATATATATATATATATATATATATATATATATATATATATATATAAAGAACGCGCGTCCGACCCGAATATACATATATATATATATATGCACAAATGTGTATATATACAATATATACAGATCTATATATATATATATAGTATACCTATATTTCAGTATGGCGTTTCCCGAGCGGCGTGGCCAGAAAGCACCCGCCACGACGCATACACTATAATATTGCTCGGTGCGCGCGTCACCCCCGGGGGGGATGCACACATAGTGTAAGTATGTTGGGGTGACACCGAGGACAGGCCACCTCGAGACGACAGGTCCTTGAGCCAACAGGCGTGGACCGAAACAGCTACAGTGGGACTGGATTGGACGGGACACGCGAGAGGACACAGGACCCCTCGGGGGGCCGCATCGCCACAGGAGTGTAAGAAGGCATGGGCCGCGCGGCACAGGACGCAAGGGCATCTTGAGCTGGCAGCGTCGGCCGACTGCACGGAGGAGGAGGACGGGGAGGAGGCAGGAGGGAGGTGAACCAGGAAGGAACACAAGGAAGGAGGAGTAGGGCAGAACGCATTTCCTCCCCTCCCCTCCTGAAGCCCCAAGTAAGCTCATACAAACCTAGAGCGCACTCGTCCTCCGTCTTCTCGTGGTGCTCTGTTTCCATCGTCCTACCCCCCCTACTCGCAACCCCCAATCGTGCTGCGCTTGTGCATGTCCCTCCCCCTCTCCCCAAATTGGTTGGGTAGTCGTGCTGCCCATCAAGGCGAACCAACTCCTGTCATCACAATGATCGGCATCACCATGATTATTATCACATTCGCCGTCACGGTCACATCGTCGCCAACTGCGCCGCCGTCGCTTTCACCACCACAATCCATGATCGTGCTGGCGGTCGACGTCCACGTAAAGGATGCCCCATCACAAACATGAACATCGACCTCATCGCCGTCATCTTCAGGGCCATCGTCGCCACCCTCATCGTGGTCATCGCCGCTAGGCGACGTCGTCGTATGCTGCCGCCGCCTGCGGCGCCCCCGCATTAGCATCGGGAGCGGCCAGCAGCAGCGGCTGCAAGAGCAGCAGCAGCAGCAGCAGCAGCAGCAGCAGCGGAAGCAGAAGCAGCAGCAGAGGGAGCACACTCCAGATCTCGTTGCAGACCTCGGCGAGGAAGTCCTGCGGACGCACGCGTGTGCGAGGAACCCCAAGGCACGCTTCCCATGCCACCAACTCCTCCTCCTCCTACTCCTCCTCCTCCTCCACCTCCACCTCCTTCTCCTCCGCTGCTGCGCCTCCCACGCCTCGCCCCATCTCCCCCGCCATCCTCCCTGACAGCACTTCTCCCCCACATCCGTGCACCCCTCGCCGTCACCTTCGTCTTCGTCCTAATTTGCACCTGACTGCCGACCGGCATGGACTGAAAGCTCTGGCGTGTGTTGTTCATGTGCTGCGCATGCATGTCATCTGTATCCGATGTGCCGGCTATGCACGTAGTCCTTATCGTTAGCGTTGTGCCTCCGCCTCCCACTCCATAGTCCCCGCTCTTCCTCCCTGTCCGCACCCGCACCCAGACTCGCCCCATGCTCGGACTCGCTGACAGACTCACTTGATTATACCCAGACGCGCTCACGCTCAGACTTACTCGCACTCAGACTCACCAGTGGTCGCACTCACTTAAAGGGGTCCTGGGACACACAAATAAATACACGCGAATAGCATGACTCCTCATATTTTCCCATATTTCCTGTGTTTTTGTCTTCCGCCCCCCCCACTTCCCATATTTTCCCATTTTCCTCGGAATGTGCGATTCATTGTGTCTGTGTGTTTTTCCCCTCCTGATCACTCGAAGTCCGTGGCCACGCTGGCTCAAGATGCGAGGTCCCCGCGGGGACCAAGCGGATACGCACCGCCCATCCGCGGCAGCCTTCAACATGTGCGGCCCGTTCGCCCAGGGCCAGGACAACCTCAGTGCGCGGGCCGCCCCTGCCCCGCGGCGCGCAAGCGTGTGCGCCGCCCTGCGCAGGTGGCGATCCGACGTCCTCGTCGCCGGTGCCATGGCGCAGGACGGCCCCCGACCACCAAGCCTGACAAAGCCAACGTTCGGAAGCTGGGCGAGGGCTGGCAAATCCGTGGCTGCTAAAACGGTCTTCCCGGAACAAAAAGACATTTTTTTGGATTCGCAAGTCGAAAGCGCACCTCTTCCGGTCGAAGCTAAGCGGGCCGCGCGAAGCTTGAATTAACAAAGAGGTAGGGACAGAACAAGAAGACACGTTCCCAGAAGAAAGCCCAACGCGCCAATCAATGTCCCGGAACTCCGGTTTAGCAACCCCGGGTTCGCCAGCCTTCGCCCGGCTTGCGGAACGTGGGGGGGCTCTCGCTGTGGCACCCCCAGGAACTGGGCGAGCAGAGTTCAATGCAGATGCGGCGATGCCGCCCCGCAGTTCATCACTGTCCAAGCGCGGAAGGCAGCCACAGTCTTGGAGCAGCAGCGTGCTCCAACCCTGTGAAGTCGGCGGGACTGACTCAAGGGGGGGAGCCTACGCCCGCGCCGTGGAACTCCGAGTAGAAAGCCATGCAGCAGCAACTCGGGACCATGTCAGCGGACGCCAAAGCGAGAAAAACAAACAAAACAAAACGACGTCGTCCCACCGAGCACCGACCCGGTCGACAAGGATGAGAATGAGAAGGACCAGCCCGCTGCCAAGCGCGACGCGTTGCACAAACGGATTGCAACTTATTGCAACTTAGGACTGCTCATCAAATGTGCTAGCTTCGCCGACGAATATGACCATGTTTTTCCTGGCGCCCGTAAGCGAGTGGAATAAGACTTGCGAAGCCAGCGTCGCGCGTTGCGGCCGCCAAGTCCAGCACGCAAGGCGCCCCATTCCGAGCGGAAGAAGTGTCGCGGACACAACAGGCCGCCGATTACAACAAGATGCCCGCCCAGCTTCGGGCGGACATACCTAGCAATCAGTCGGCGACAGAGGACATGATTCAGGAGATCGAAGTGCTGGAGCGGGAGGCCGAAGAAAACGCAGCGCAGATCCGCCGGCAACGAGGCGAAGCGCGCGCGGAGCAAGCTGCACCGCATTGGCAGGCCAGGCCAGAGGATTTCCTGGCGAAGGCCGCAGGTGCCAAAGCAGCGGCAGCCGACCCCGACATGGCCGAGCACCACAAGCAGACGCAAAGCAGTGAGAAGTTCGCCGAGCTGCGGAAGTTGCCCCACCCAGTCATCAATGGAATCTTGGTCAGGACCAATGCTGAACCTGAAGAACCTGACGTTGATATGGGTGTCCCTCCTGATGTTCCCATTGGCGCCCCCTCCTGATGCCTCCCCTGGGGGTAGTGGCGGCGATGCCGTCTCGGGCCCTCTCGTCGCCCCCCTTCCCCTCCTTTGACGCCTCTGGCGCCCCCCGACGGGTCCAAAAAAGGAGGGTACCGAACCAGTGCGCTCCAGGGCTCCCGGCCCCCGGAATTCCCCCCCTATCTTCTGATACATATCTGTATATACACACGAAATGCCAACCTTCGCATGTGGGGATCTCCGGGGCAAGCAATTCCGCCCGTTCGAAGTCGCGTCTACTGGCCCATTGACTTGCCGAGGGGAAGGGAAGGGGGGCCGTGCCGATGCGTCGTGCCGTGCCGAGGGGAAGGGAGGGGATACAGCTGGTGGAAAGGAGCAGATGGACGGGAAGGGGAGGTGGGCAGGGGGGAAAACAGCAGGGGCACGAGGCAGGGGGGGACGGACGAGGGTGGCGAGGGGGGGAGGGCAAGGAGGAAAAGGGATGAGGAGGAGAGCGGAAAGATGGACAGAAGGAGGAGGAGGCAGGATGAAGGGATGGAGAAACACGGCGATGACGGAGGTGGTGATGGAGGGGACATGAGGGACGGGAAGCAGGCGAAAAAACACGCGGCGGCGGGAGCGGGAGAAGGGAGGGGGAAAGGGAGGGACGGAGGAGGGAAGTCCTCGTTGTGGCTCACGATCACGACCCCGCCCCTGAAGAGGCGCAACGCACGGGAAAGCGCCGCAACGGTCTCGAAATCCGCACGCCCCCGTACTGGCGGGCACTCCCCTTCGAACTCGTCCATGTCGCGTATCATCGTGCTGGCGGTGCTGTTCCTTCTCCTGGACCTCCTCGTCGTCTTCGTCCTCGTCTTCCTCTTCCTCCTCCCCCTCTGCATATCACTAGCACTCCTCCTCCTCCTCGTCATCCTTCACATCCCTTCCCCTCCTCACTTTCTTTTTCATCAGATCCATAATATGCCCTGCTATTCCTCCTAGACTGCATGTTACTCCTCCTTATCGTCCTCGCCTCCCTTCCCACCCTCATTATCTACATCCTATACATGACCTGCCTGACCCTCCTCCACCTCCTCCTCCTCGACCGTTTCCTCCTGGCGTCTCCTCAAACATAACACGAATCATCATTACTACACGTCTCATCCTACTCCTTTGCCAACTCGTTTCATGTTTCCCCCTCTTCGTCATACTCCTCGTCCTAGTCCTCGGCTTTCTCCTCCTCCTTTCCTTCCTCTGTATGCGATTCACCCTCCTAATCATCGCCGTCCATCGCCTTCCATCCCCTTCCGCGACCGCTCTTGTACAAAAATCCGAAGGGTCTCGGGCGCGAGCGGGATTGCACAGCGTAATGAAGTCCCAGTCCAGCGCCGTCGAACTTTCGATTCTGAAAAATATTTAGTGCTGACCCCCCCGAACTACAACGACCACGGCTCCAGCATTATACTTCCTCACGATGTATTGAAGAATCGTGCTCTCGCTCGGGACTTCCAAGGAATCGCGCTCTCGCGCGGGACTTCAAAGCGATTATTCAGACGCCACGCCCTCGACACTCAGGAATCACGCTCTTGCTCAGGACGTCCTCCAGATTTACTTTGGAATGGCGCCATCGCTGGAGACTTCCTGGCCATGCCTGCAGGACTCACGCTTCAGCGACCCGTCCGATTGACCCGACCATCTGGATCCGCCCGCCCGACCCGCTCGTCAGGGACCGCAGTCGCCCGTCGCTGCCCTTCGCCCGCCCTCGATGCCCCTCGCTGCCCATCGTGGTTCCGCAGTCGCCTTCCTTTCGCAGCTCTGTCCCTGCCCTCGTAGCACCTTCGATGCCCTTCGTGGCTCCCTTCCCGCACTGCTGTCCTCCTCGCTTTCTCATTCTCAGTTTCTCTCTCCATCTCTCTCTTTCTGTCCTGTCTCACTCCTCGTCCTGCGCTTACTACACGTGGCAAGTCAGGCAGACACACAACCGAGGGGATACAGTCGAAGACGACGAGGGCGGGTATCGAGGGTTCAGGATATACATGTTGATGTGCTGCTTTACACGCAAGCCGATGAGACCACAAAGTATAACACTGACTGCAGTTGCTGTAGCCAGGGGGCTCTAGTAACACAATTTGCATGCTAGCACCAGGGGGGCGCATGGACAAAATCGCAAAATGGGCACCGTCGGGCGGGGGATCCACAATAATCATCCACCCAGTCCTTGGAAGTAGGAACTCCACACCACATGCCGACCATGCCGCTCGCCCAGCTCCTCATGCAAGCACCCCTGTGACGTCCCCGTCCTGCCCTTGACGGCCCACGCGGTCTCCCCTCTCTTGTCTCCCAGCGGTGAGCGGGGGGGGGGAAGTGAGAAGCAGAAGGTCCTCTCAGAAGGCGGCGGGACCTCTCAGAAGCCCTCGCGCCTGAGAAGTTTCCTGTGTCTTCGGGGAAGGCTCAGAAAACTTCTCGGGGACCTCCGAGCCTTCTGAGAAGGCCTTCTCCTTCTCGCGTCCCCCCCTCGCTCGCCGCCGAGTCTCCCCGCCCCGAGCCCCCCGAGGACGAGGCCGGACGCACCCAGAGCGCATGGGGGCCCGGAGCAGCCGGGGAGGCGGCGCTCGGCGGTCGCAGGCGTGCAGCCCGAGGCATCCAGGAAGTTCGTGGGCTCGTCCGTCGGCGGTGGGCGGGGGGGGGAAGAAGCGAGACGGCGAAGGCCTCCTCAAGAGGCTCGGGAGGCCCCTGGCCTTCTGAGAAGTGTTCTAAGCCTTCCCTTAGGTCGGGCGTGTCCCCCTACAGGGGGATGTTGGGCGACAAATATAACAAAAAACCAAAACATGCCCACCACATACTCAAAAATAGTAAAACAACCCGTCCCCAGACTATTTTTGTATTATTTCTGGATATTCCCCCTGTAGGGGGGCACGCGCGACTTAAGCCTTCCCCGAAGACACAGACAAAGCTTCTCAGAAGGCGCGAGGGCTTCTGAGAGAAGTCCCACCGCCCTCTGAAAGGCCTTCTGCTTCTCACTTCCCCCCCTCGCTCGCCGCCGAGTCTAGACACACCACGTGCGGCTTGGTCCAGAGGGCCGCCCCGAGGATGAGCTTCGACTTCTGGCCGCCCGAGTAGCTGCCGACGGCCCTGTTGGCCACGAGCTCCTCCGGGAGGCCGAAATTCTCGAAGTGCTTCACTATCTCCCTCTGGGTCAGCGGCCTGTCGTCCGTGCCGGCCTGCGCTGCCGCCAGCCGCTCGTCCAGCGCCGTCGCCATCCTCTCGACGCCCAGCCGCCGCAGTGTCGCCAGGGGCTCCAGGGTGTTCTGCTTCTCCGAGAGGTCCCGCCACTGGACCTCGTACCTCCACTCGCCGCGGCGCCTCGTGCGGGAGACGACCGCCTCGACCCTGCTGCCAGACTTCCCGAACCTGCGGGCGAGGGAGGCCAAAGCCGCCTCCTCGGTCTCGCTGGACGGCGAGTTCAGCCTCTTCTGGAGCTCCTCGTCGTACCCGTTCTGGTAGCGGTGCTGGACGTACTGCACCGCGCTGCAACGGGCGTAGTCAGCCAGGTGGAAGGCGTGGCTCTGCGAGATGTACGCCAGTCTCAAAGCCCTGTGCCGGTTGACCTCACCAACCCCGCCCTTCTCGTCAGGAGAAGGCCTGATCTCGCCGCAGAGCAGCGCCAGGAGCGTGCTCTTGCCAGAGCCATTCGGTCCGATGATGGCCACCCTGCTCGACATGGTGACCTTGGCACACACGTCGATCAACACATAGCTGGCCGCGCTCGGATATCTGTACGAGGCACCCTTGATGTCTATCACACTCTTCTTGGAGTTAGACACGCCCTCGACTCTACTCGGAGGAAGGTCGTCAGAGAGAACGGCCGCCCTCCCGCCAAGCCCACATCCGCTCAAAACCGGTCGCCAGGCCCAGCCCATGCAGAGCCCATCCCGACCCGTTTTCCGACGCGGATCCAGTCGTGGCGACGAGAAGCCTCCACGAGTCCCAACAAGAACGAAAAAGGCAAACGAGGGCCGCCGTTCTCGAGTGGCCCTGTGGTGCCCGTTCCATGGGAACTTGCCTGGCCCCCAACGCTGTCCCATTTGGGCCTGATTTGGACTGGACCTGGATCGAATTCGGGACCAGATTTGAACCAGATTCGCCTATTCACAAGGAGGGCGAGAAGAACGAGGAGGGATAGGAGGAACAGGAAGGGCCACATGCAGTTTCAACGCGGTCCAGATACAAATAACGGCTGACCTCAATGTCGCCGCCCAAGGCTCCCAGGAACGAGCATCGAGCGTGGGGAACTCAGAAAGCACCAATACCGCTACTCCCCAGACCGCTCCCGGGTGCGTTCTGACCAGCGAGGCGACTCCGCCGGCGGCGACCAGGGCCTCCCGGGAGGCCCAAGAGGGGGAAAAGGAGGCGAGGGTAGCGGTACGGGTAACTGCCTTGCCCTCCTCTGAGAATGGCCCTCCTCCGATCTACCTGGGATCGGGAACAACATCTTCGGCGGCACGGTCTCAACCGCGCGCTCGGCGCCGACCGCTGGCACGCGCGCGGACGACCGAACGCCTGCGGCCGCCGCAGCGCCGCCGCCGCCGCGCACTGTCAACACGGCCTCCGCCGCCGCGTCGCCGACCAGCCCAGCCTGCTCCTGGAAGCGCGAGAAGTTGCCAGCGTAGTATCTCAGCTGGCAGTCCTCGAAGTGGATGACGTCCGTGCAGACGCTGTCCTTGGGAAGGCGAAAACCCACCCCCACCCCCAGTCCCGACCCCTTGAATCACCGGCTCGGGGATAGGCCTCGGGACTGGGGGTGGGGGTGGGTTTTCGCCTTCTGAGTCCCAGAGGATCGACTAGAACTGCGTACGCATTAGACTTCTCGGGAGCGGCCAAGAGGGGGGTGTCCAAGAGGGGGGGGGGCAAATCATGACAGGCGGCATGTGCGCGGCCCAGCGGGGGGGCCAGGGACGTGATGAAATAAGAAGAGGCGCCATGAAATCTGGGGAAAAATAATCATGGCCCACGCCATGATATCCACCCCCCCCTTAGTCATCACCCCCCTCTTGTCCGCCCCCGAGCCTTCGGAGTCCTACAGCATCGACTAGAACTGCATACGCATTCGACGTCCCGAGCTCCTCGCGGATCTCCTGGACCGGCGGAGGGCTCCCGCCCCTGGCCGGGGTCTCGGCGCTGGGAGCGCCGCCAGGGGGGGAGGGGCCAGCGCCGATGCAGGAGACCCGCGCGGAGCTCCGGAAGCTGGTGGTTACGCAAGTTGTTCGTCTTCCATTGAGGGGCAACGATAGGGGGGGACTGGCATATCAAGGGGCCCAAGGACACACAAATAAATACACACAAATAACATGATTCCCTATATTTCCTCATATTTTCTGTGGTTTCGTCTTCCCCCCCAATTCCCATACTTCCCTATGTTTTCTTGGGAGTCGACAGTAATTGTGTATGTGTGTTTCTTTCCCTCCTGAGCATAGGGGGGATGCATCGACCTGGAATCGGCGATACATCGCCGATAGATCAGCGATAGGCCTGCGATCGTGAATCCGCACCTTCCTGGGCAGGTTCGGGCTATCGGGCCCCTGTCGGCGACCAATGGGCGATCGGGGGTCGATGTATCCCCCCCTGTGCCTGTCCCCCCTATCGTTGCCCCTGATCCATGTCCAGGAACTGCCGGTCGTGCGACACCAGCATGCTGGTCACGCCTTATGTTGCATCCTCGGGGGACCTTGTCTGTCCCGTCGCGGCCTGCTCCGCGTCGAATCCGTGTCGAATCCATGTCGGACTCGTCGGATCCGTGTCGAATCCGTGTCGAATCCGCGTCGAATCCACGCCGAATCCGCGTCGAGTCCGCATCGAGCCCGTGTCGGGTATAAGAAAAGACGCAAATTTTGGGGACAGGCCAGGTCCCCCGAAGATGCAACGTAACACGCCTCGTGGGTCGCTGGTCAGCCACCAGGCGAGCCAGTCCTTCGCCTGGCTGTCCAGGTGGTTCGTTGGCTCGTCCAGCAGCAGCACGTCCGCGCGCCGGGCGACCGCCGTGGCCAGCAGGAGCCGCACGCGCCAGCCGCCCGACAGCTCCCGGAGCGGCCTGCGCCGGAGCTCCTCGGAGAAGCCGACCTTTGGAGGCGGTCGGGAGACTGGCCATCGCTTGGACGTCCATTTCCTGTGTGTTCTTTCATCATTTTGGGTAGAGGCTCTCCGGGGGGACTGAACTGGTGGGGACCCCAGAAAATCGGTCAGGAGAGGGACTGAAGCCCAAACCGCTCAAAATTTATCTCCGGATCCCCCCCCCACGCCCATCTGGTGCAAATGTCCACCCCGGCCGGACTGTTTTTGACGTTCCCGGGGCCCGAAAAAACGGCCCCCAGAGACGGAAAGGTAAAGAAATACCTTCCCGAACCCAGAACCTCGAACCTGCCCGCCCTTCTTGCTGGCTGGATCCAAGGCTGGGCCACCTCAGATTCCCAGACGGCTCCAAGCCGATCTCTTCGAGGGCGACCTCTTCGAAGGTGACCTGTTCGAAGACGAGCTCCAGCTATTGGTCGCTGCTGGGCCTAAATAGGCGTCATTTGGGCGCTAAGAACCGCTATGGAGCGCGATTGAACACTCTTGGGCACCACTGGGCGCCATTCGCCGAGGTACACTCAATCCAAAGACGGGCGAAGCTTTCGTGATTTACGATCTAAGCGACTTTTCCTGCTGTGGTGCCCGCTCCCGCAGCCCCAGCGCTTTGCAGGGTGGCCTCGGCCCTGTCCGCGCTGCCCCGCTTGGGGGTGGCCGCCGTTGCGGCTCACCTCCCGCTTTTGTTCCTCCGCCCCGGGCCCCTGCCCGTGCTGCCTCGTCGGGAGCCTCGAGACGGGGGTCAATGCAAACGGGGGTCGGCCAGGGCGCCGCATCCTGCAGGACCCTGCAGGGCCAGGGGCGCACTGACCTCTTCGAAGGCGAGCTCCAGCGGGTCCTCCGCGTACGCGGGCGGGCGGGGGCACCCGGGCGGCCACACCACCCCGCGGGCGAAGTGCTCGGCGGGCGCGGCGAGGTCCGCCTCGTCGCCCAGGGCCTCGTGGCGGATGTGCACGAACCGCAGCCCGCTGGCGGCGAGCTCCGCAATGGCCCCGTCCGCGAGGCTTCGGCGGCAGCTCGGAGGGGCCTCCCCATACCATCTTGTGGGCTATTGCGAACCGATGCTGCTCGACGCTGGTCGACGCTCCTCGACGCTGTTTGTCGCTGAGTCGACGGGCCCTGACGCTCAGCCACGCCAGCCGAAGCTAAATCGGCGCACTCATCGAGCACCAGACGCTGATCAACGCAATGCGCTCCAGAAAAGTACGAGGATATGCTCCCAAGAGTTGCTACCGAAAGATGCGCTGCATGAGCGTGGTCTTGCCCGTGCCATTCCTAGAATAAGAAGACACGGACTTTCGGACCCCCACGTGGATTTTGTTTGAATCGGTGCAGGACCCCCTCCCTGGAGAGCGGAGCGCGCCAGGGGCGGCGCCAGAAGCGCCGCTGGGGGGGGTGCCCAACGCCGATTCAAGAAACCCGCGCGAAGCTCCGAAAGTGTATGTTTATGCTGTTTTTGCTTCTGCGAATTCCTGCCGACGACGCCGTAGCGGTGGCCCCTGGCAAGCGAGAACGTGGTGCCCTTGAGTAGCAGATCGGTGCTGCCCATGTACATCAAAATGATATCAGGCACGCAGCAGAGCATCGAGCCCGGCTCGCCGCCGCCTCTGCTGACAAGCGCCGTGGACGCCGGCGAAGCAGCCTCGCCATTGGGGGCGTTCAAAAGGGGGGCGTCCAAGAGGTGGTCGAAAATCGTTGCCCGACGCACGTGCGCGGAACAGGGGGGGGACCAGGGAACGTATTGAAATTCGCCGGTCCAAGGGGCTTGAGGCGTGTAAAGAAATCCTGCAACTGGTACAATAATTTTTTAGTTCGCGCGCGCGACGCGGCCCTTGGAGTCCCCGAACGAAAGTACCCCGAGTGAAGCCAGGCAACGTCGGATCAGAGATGGCCTTTCAGGCTCCACAGAGCGCACCAAGAGGAACCCAAGAGGTCCCCAAGACGGTCCAAGAGGGCTCTGAGTCGCCGACCGATACGTCCAAGACGCTCACTGTGGTCTCCTGACGGCCCAAGAGGCCTCCAAGATGCCCGAACACGCCTGCAATAGGGTCCAAAGAGGGCACCTGGAGGCAAAAAATATAGATTTCCCCTGGATTGTTGAAGGATGTTTGCGCTCTCGCCTTTTCGGTTTTCCAGCGCTCCAAGACGGCCCAAGATCGCCCAAAGACGGCTCAAGAGGCTCAAACAGGGCCCCAAAACGGCCCAAGATGGCCCCAAGACGGCCCAAGAGGCCTCCAAGACGGCCCAAGAGGCCCCGAAGACAGCTCCAACAGGTGGGCCATACGGGGGACCCGTAGAGCGGGCGGAACAAAGTCCCAAAACAAGCACTCGAATGGCCCAACAGCGGAACTCCATGGGTCACAAGCACAACTCCATGGGTGACAAGCCCAACTCACGATGGTGCCACATACCCATGACAGCCCCCACACAAGCCACCCCCCAATAACTACACCGGAATTGCTCCAACTCCAACACTGCTGACGAAACGCCCCTGGAAAACGACCACCGCCCACCAGCGCAACAAGGGCAACGAACGCGCGGGCAAGCCAGCGATCCCACATCATGGGCCGGCGGAATGAGCGAAGCGATCAACAGAAGGAGGGGACATGACATCTGGGAAGACATCATGGCTCTGGCCATGATATCCACGCCCCCCTAGTCGTCCACCCCCTCTTGGCAAACCTCGAGCCATGGGGTGCCTCGACGATCCGACCAGCCAACGATCGCTGATGCGATGAGGAGCTTCGGCCGATGACAAGGACTGCCCATCTGAGGGGGAAAGACAGGGGGGATGGCCAACTTAGGGGGGGGATAACATCGACCTGAAATCGGCAGTACATTTTCCGACAAATCGGCGACCGGCAGGCCCCCGATGGCAAGACCGCACGTTCCAAGGCATGGCGGGCTATCGGGCCCATATCGGCGATGGGGGCAGGAAGAGAGAGGGGAGGGGGGAGCGAAGCGGAAGACGATGAGGACGAGGAAGCAGGAAAGGAGGGAGGAGGAGGAGGAGGAGGAGGAGGAGGAGGAGGAGGAGGAGCATATGAGGAGGAGGAGGAGGCAGTGGGGAAGAGGTCGATGTTTCCGACCTGCAGGCACGACGCATGCACTGCAGGCACGACGCACGTCGAGGGGAGGCACGCTCAGTGGGCTGTGCTGGTCAGCGGACGGCCGTCGGCGAGGTCGCCGGTCATGGGACGGGCAAGAACAATGGCGAGAATCGTGAGCGTGGAATTCAACTTCAGCCGCGCGCCCAGAGACGATGCCAGCCCATTTGGCCCCCTCCCATTGGTCATATACACCGATGCGGTCGGCAGCAGACGTGGTCCTGCCATAGCTACTCACCTCTTCCTGGGCATGAACAACTGCACCAGATTCCATGATAAAGTGGGGGGGTCACATTTTTGGGGGGGTCTGATTTGAGCTGTCTTGGAGGATTCGGGGGGCCGGGCCCATATCGGCGTTCCATGGGCGATTGGGGGTCGATGCATCCCCCCTATGCTCATCCTCCCTGCCGTTGCCCCTGAACTCATACCATACCAAGACGAACCGAGAAAAGAATCGGGTGAGGATGAATCGAGAATCTCTGAGATCTGGCGGCTCTGAAAGATGCCTGGAGGCCGCGGTCTTCTGGAAACGTTCCAAAACGATCTGAGGGTGTTACGGAACGTTCTGGAACGGATTGATCCTCGTCCTGGCCCCGCCAGATCTACCACCCCTCACTCTTCTTTTCCGACTGCGCATCTCCGAGTTCCAGGTGGGCTACGACACACGTGCGCGCATGCATGAACAACAACAACGTAATATGGAAGGGGGTCAACGAGAGAGAGAGAGACACATGCACACACATATAGACAGACCAGCATACCAACAGACATACATACATACATACATACATACATACATACATACATACATACATACATACATACATACATACACACATACATACATACATACATACATACATACATACATACATACATACATACATACATACATACATACATACATGCAGGCATGCATGCATGCATGCATGCATGCATACATACATACATACATACATACATACACATATACATACATACGCATATATATATACATACATACATACATGCATGCATACATACATACATGCATGCATGCATGAATGCATGCATACTTATATACTTACATCTGTGCATACATACATACATTCATACATGCATATATACACACATGCATGTATACATGCATACATACATACATACACACATACACACACATACATACATACATACATACATACATACATGCATGCATGCATGCATACATACATACATACATACATACGTGCGTGCGTGCGTGCGTGCATGCATACATACATACATACATACATACATACATACGCACATACATAAATACATACCTACCGACCTACCGACATACATACATGCATGCATACATACATACATGTAAAAGTACAGAAATACATATATACATAAATAAAAAATACGGACATACATACATACAGGCATACATACATGCATGTATGTATACAGACATACAAACATACATACAAACACACAGGTCTGCCTACCTACCGACCTACACACGTACATATATACACATAAGCATGTGCATACATATACCAATATCTAATATAGGACATGGCGGTAACGCACTTACCGCGGGTTCGTGCCGTGTCGGACGCGGCGATGGCTCCTGACGCCGCGGGGATCATTCGACCTTGCACGATCGGCCGGTTCCGAAATGCCAGATCGATCAACATCGAACGGTTCTGGGTCTGCGGCGGCGTCCAACGTGGAACGCTTTGCGGCGGGGTCGCCTCTGGCCGACACGACGCAGACCTACCCTCCCACCCTTAGAGATGCAAGAAACAACGTGAACATAAACTTTCGGAGCTCCACACGGATCTCTTGGATCGGCGCCTGGATCCCCCTTCCCTGGCGCGCGGGGCGTGCCAGGGGTGGCTCCCGGGTGGGCCGGACGCAGCCCTCCCCACCCCGGGCCGGTTGGCCCTGAGAGGCTGATCAAACTAGACAACCAGGGTCACTGGTGTGATCGGCTGTAGGATCTTCGTGAAAGATAAGCTCCACCCCCTACCCTCTCCTCCTCCTCCTCCTCCTCCTCCTCCTCGTCCTTCCTCTCCCTCCTCCTGCTCCTCCTCCTCCTCCTCCTCCTCTTCCTCCTGCTCCTCCACCTCCTCTTCCTCCTGCCTCCTCCTCCCTCCTCCTCCTCCTCCTCCTCCTCCTCCTCCTCCTCCTCTTCCTCTTCCTCCTCCTCCTGCTCTTCCTCCTCTCCCTCCTCCTCCCTCCTCCCCCCTCCCTCCCTCCTTGCTCTCCAGCCGCCGAGGCCTCGGCCCTGCTCCGTGCCGGCGCCGAGGCGGAACCGAGGCGGGCGATGGCCCTGGCGAGGGCGGCCACCTTCCGCGGCCGCTGCCGCAGCGGGTGCCGGGGTGGAGGGGGGGGGAGAAAGAGGAAGAGGAGGAGGAGGAGGAGGAGGAGGAGGGTCGAGAAGGAGGAAGTGGAGGGAGAAGGAGCAGTGAGGATCGAGGAGGAGGGAGGGTCGGGGAGGAGGAGGAGGAGGACCAGTGTAAGCCTCAGACTCGTCGACGATGTTGGGGTGCACCCTCCCTCCAAGATCCCTCTTCACAGGCCCCCACAAGGGGTCGTTTCCACTGAGGGCATTGCCCCGTTGGGGGACAACCCTGTGAACATCTTGAAACGTGCCAAAACACCCCTCTCAGGACTTCAACGCCCGAATTAACCTGACTGTTACGACTTGGCGATCTTGAATCGTGTCAAAACACGATTCCTGGGACTGCAACACAACGAATCAACGAAACTGTTGCGCCCTGGATATCCTGAATCGTTCCACTAAACATATGTCTGGTACGTTAGACCTGGGACACATCGAAACTCTTGCAAATGTTTGACACGAATGTGAGCGGCGCTAGAACCACATCTTGAAAGACCCGTCCTCAATCCGCGAAACTCTTGCAATTGTTCTAAACGAGTGTGCGCAGCGCTAATGCGAGAATCACACTTTGAAAACGACCCCCCATCAATCCGTGAATCTCCTCAAACTTGTTTCAAACGACGGCGCTAAAGCGAGAACCACATTTTGAAAAACGGCCTGCCCTCGAGCCGCGAAACTCTTGCAAATGTTTAAAACGAATGCGCGCGGCGCTAAAGCGAGAACCACATGTTGAAAACGACCCGCCCTCAATCCGTGAAACTGTTGCCGACTTTGCAGCATTCGAGTCATAACTGGTGAGGATCAGGCGAAACGCCCGGCCCGCCCTTTCGACCAGCCTCGGGGTGCGACAGGGAGGAGTTATCTATAAGAACAGGGAATGGAGGACGACCAGGAAGGGGACGACGAGGAGGACCAGGAAGTCCTCCGGCCCCTCCCTCCTCCCCTCCCTCCGCCTCCCCCTCGCATCCCTCCTCTCCTCCCCTCCACTCCCTCCTCCTCCCCCCTCCTCTCCTCCCTCATCTCCTCCCTCCCCTCCTCTCCACTCCCTCCTTCCACTCGGGTGGGACGAGAGGACCAGATCTTCCCAGCACCTCCGCCAGTGTGCAAAGAGAAAGAGCTCCAGGCGGCCAGGCTGAAAGCCAGCTGCAGGCCGCAGACTTCCCCCTTTCTCTTTCCCCGCCTGGCCGTCCGACCAATCCACGCGTCCCCCGCTCGTGTCGAGGCAGGGCTCGAGCTGAGCAATGTCTTCCGTCTTCGTTTTGATTTGTGTTGTTTCCTCGTTCTGTCTTCGTTCCGCCTCTGGTGCAGGACGGCATCAAAACAACAACAAGGGTCTACGAAAACGCCCAACCACCGCTCAGCTCGAGCCCCGTGCAGAGCACACCTCCTGGACGTGTTGATGGGGAGGGCTCGGCGCTTCGCCCGATCCCTGCACCGGACGGGCGCAACTGCGGGGGTCACGGGCCTGTGAGCGGGGCGAGGTCTGCTGCGAACAACCATACTAATCAGATGTCGGCTGACATGAAGAAACCTACCCAAGGACCCCGCGATGTGTTTTCGTCAACGGGAGCGTCGCACATGCACCACTTCTCCCTTCGCAATCGGCTCCGCAAGCGTGAGAATTTGCGCCCTCACGGCCACCCCAGGACGTCACCCCCTGCGGTGACCTGCGCGCCGCTTCACTACCACCTCGACGAAGCGCGGCGAAACCCGGGAAGCAACGCTCAAAACATCGTTGCTGTCTTCTGTTCGCGACAGCGGCCGTTACCCGCCCTGGCCGCCCCTCGCTTCTCCCCGCTAGGCAACGTCACGACTGGCGCTGACCTCCGAGGTGCCGAGGTGTCTCGAGCCGTCCCTGGGCATTCCCAGACGGCGCAGGCGCGGAACGTGGCATCACCGGCCCACCGCCCCCCCTCCCCCCCCGGTTTAACGTCCGTCATCGCGTTGGACTGGGAACACGCTGCAGGCATTCACGAACACGTGAACGACTGAACGCTCCTTTGATGTGCCCAACAGTCGGCGCGCGGTCACGAGGGGACGTCCGAGACGGACAAAAGGCAAAGGGACCTCTCGAAGTGCGGCATGGCGCTACAGCCAAGGGTTAGAAACCACTGAACAGTGGAAGCGTGAGCAAAAGGGACTGCTGATGGGAGGGGACAGGGGAGAGACAGGAAGCAGGAATTGCAGCAAACGTGCTCCAACAAATCCTCTTTCCCGCTCTGGACCCCCTGTCACCTCCTTCTGAATCCAGCTGGCCAAAGTCGCGCCACAGCGGGCGGGAGGTGGGGGCGACGACCACGAGCACGAGCACGTTGACGACAAGGATGAGGACAAGGAGGGCAACCACGAAGACGACGAGGGCGAGGAGCATTTTCCACGCTTCGGGCTTCGGGCAACGCAAAGAAAAGCCCCTGGAGGTAGCCCAGCCTGGCCTCAACAAGGGTCGTCCGAGGCAACTTCAACACCACCGCGCCGACTCCGGCGACGCCTCTGGGGCGCTTCGCGTGGTGAGACGAGGGCTCTCTGCCATGGCATGAAATCATAAGTGGGTCCTGGTGGAAACGGGTCCTTCCCCAGAATCGGATTATCATCCAGAGCCATTGTTTCATGGTCCTGGGTCGCAGGGAAAAGCTTTGGGAGGACGAAATTGGCGAGAAACCCTGTGAACTTTGTTTCAATGACCAACGTCCATCAATGCTCACCCGTGCGCAAGCCCAAGCCCATCCAAGGACGATTGCCGACGATGACCCCCCTTGTCGGGGCCTGCTTCTCCTTCAGCCCCTGCTCCAGCAGCAGGGGGCCCAGCTGCTCCACCTTCGCCGGCGATGCAGAGAGAGGGGCCACTGTGCTCGAACGCCCGCTCCGTGGCGGCAGGGGCGGCTTCCGAGTATCAGCGGTGAACCCTCTCCGTTTCGTCCTCCCGGAAATGCTCCTCTTCCTGCTTCTGCCCGACGCTCCGCGACCGCATCTCTCCCGTCGATCCTCCCTGCACCTCCTCCCTCTTTCCCCCTCATAGTCCCTCCGTCCTCCTCCTGCTCCTCCTCATTTGCAGCCTCGCGTTCCTCCTCCTACTGTTCTTCCTGATCCTCCCTCTCCCTCAACTCCTCCTCGGTCATCCACCTCCTGTCGTCCCTCTTCCTGCCTTCTTCCCTCTTCCTCCTACGCATCCCACTCCTCCCGCTCCTGCTCGCCCCACCCCCGCTCCCCCATCATGTGTCTTGTCCACACACCCAACATCCTCCTGATCCTTCTCCTCCTGCTCCTCCTGCTCCTGCTCCTGCTCCTGCTCCTGCTCCTGCTCCTGCTCCTGCTCCTGCTCCTGCTCCTGCTCCTCCTCCTCCTCCTCCTCCTCCTCCTCCTCCTCCTCCTCCTCCTCCTCCGCCTCCTCCTCTGGGGAAACCAAAAAAGTACCGATACCGCTACTCCCCGGCCCTCTCCCAGGGTGCGTTCTGAACAGAATTTCAAGCCGAACCCAGCGTTGGCGATGAGAGACCTCTCAGGAGGCTTACTAAGGGGAAAATGAAGCATGGCTCCATGGGTACCTGTTCCTCCTCTGCCTCCTCCCCTCCACAGGGGTGAGGGAGCAGGTGCGAGGGGCGCCGATCTTCACGGTTGGCTTCGTCGTCAACTTTGTCAGCCACCACCAACTCCCCCTCGCACGCGTCCGCGCTGGCCGCGTCCGACGCACCGGGGGGGAGGCGCGCCCAGCAGGAGGGGGCCCCCGCAAAAGGGGGGGATGCGTCCGCTGCCTTGGGTTAACAAGAGGACGGGGGGGAGGATCGAAATTGGATAAATATTTGAGTGGGTGATCGACTGCAGACAGACAGTTCGTATGTTCGACGAAGAATCCAATCTTGGGGTAACGAAATTCTTTAGCCGATCCCCTACTCGAAAGCTAGATGATCGGGGAGAAGTCATGCATCACTATCGGCCGGTGGATCGATCTTCGGAGACCGCGGCACGCGGCGGATCTTGGTATGTCTGGGCCTCCCAGGGCCCGTATGTGTCCACATCCACCGCATGCCGAGTTCCCTGAGAATCGATCCCCCAGGGGTATGGACAAGTCCCCGTCCCAGAATAGAGGAGAGCTCGGGGCGGCGCAGGACCCCGCTGGATGGAGATAGGAACGCTCGGATCTGCCGCGAGAGCTCCGCGAGAACCCGGATCGCCCCCGGCGCCCGGCACGGCTGCTGGCGTTGACCCCGTCGGCCTCCACCCCCTTCGCCGCTACGTCTGCCTCCTCCAAGCCCTCGTGCCCCTCCGCCGCTGGCTACTCTTCTTTGTCCCTGCTCGTCCCTCCTCCTCCGCCACCACCGGCAGCTCGTGCTCCCGTCCCCCCTTCCGCCTCCACCGCCTCCTCCTCCCCGTCGCTGGCTGCCATGGCAGAGGTGGGATTGAGAGCTGCCACGGCGTAGCTCTTCCCCCTGCCCCCCCCCTCCCACCCGTCCTGCCAAGCTGACCACCCACCCCCCGGGCTAAGATTGCGCAAGCGACGCCGACAGTGTCCGCGAGGCCCCCTGGCGGGTGCCACCAAGCCGTCGCTTGGGCAAACCCTTGGAATTTGGTGGCTTGAAAAGAAGCTCGCTGCCGAGCCCGAGCCGGCCCCGCAAATGTCTGGTCCCGCCACCGCGATCCAGAGCTCGCCCAACTTGGGAAGCGAGAGGCGATCAGCTGCGTCACGTCGGTCGGCGCACGCGGAGGATGGGAAAGGAGGAGGAAGGAGAAGGGAGGGCCAGGGAGGAGACAGCAGGCGGAAGGGCAAACATCAGGAGAACAGTACCCACAAACGACAATTGAGGGGCGCGGGAACGACCGCAGGAGGTGGCGACAGCCTCTCACATACTCGCGAGTGGCCTGTGCGGAGGGCAAGAAGCATCCGGCGCGCATCCCCAGGAGAGGTGAGAACCGGGACAAGCCCGACGCGACGCCCTCCTCCCAAGGGCGGCAGTCAAACCCCCTCCGCTTCCTCCTCCTCACATCGTCCACCTAGTCTTTCATAACCTCCTGCTTGTTACCGTCTGCGCCCTACGTCGGCTGGAAATTCTGGGGGCCACGGAGGGCAAGGTAGGTATGAGGCCGTTGGCGAAAGAGCGGCGCGATCGGGTGCATTCCCAGGGGAGTAGTTGACGACGGTACTACAACTAGCAGCAGGAGTACAACCAGCTGCAGAAGTGTTGCAGGTTTGGCGGAAGAGGAGAGGGGAACTGTAAGGAGGGCAAGGGGAAGGAAAAGAAAGAAGTGCAAACTGGGTAAGAGGAGGAGCTGCAGGTAGTTACCCGGGCTCTCACAGAATGCCCAAGGGTTCTCATCGTCAACGCAAGTGCATTTGCGCGGCGCTGAATCATAAGAGGGCAGCAGGCTGGGGACGCGACACGCGGGAATGATGAGCAACAGCGTCCCCTTTCCCGTGAGAGAATTGGCCCAAGCTGAGGAGGAGGCCAGGGGCGAAGAGGGAGGCGGACAGCGGAGAGGTGGAATAAAAAGAGGGAGGGGCAGATGCCTCCGTAGGCCTCCAGACACCTCCTCAGCCAGACTTGCCGAATTGACGTTAGTTGCCAACCCACCCGTTTTGAAGAACTGAAGGTGACGACCCAGACCTTTCGCGACTCGAACAACTTGCGCTGGCAGATGTTCGGCACCAGGTCACACGACCCGGGATCCAAGGACCGTCACCACAGCGACACAGCCGGTCCCCAGACGAGGATCCAGACATCCGACGATGCATTTCTCTCACTAACTTGTCTTGCAGGGTCCTACATACCAAGCGGCGGCCCGTGGCCCATGGTCTCCCGTATGGCCGCATGTGCAACACGACTCGAAGCACAGGTCGACTACATAACTGGTTTGCCCCAGAGCTGCTTGCTCATCGAATCTGCCAAACGTACACCGCATGCTCCGTAGATCTGCGAAACATGCTGCATATGCTTCGCTGAGTCCACGAGCAAACGAGTTCGGGATATATTTCCTGGATCGGCAACCACTGGGTTGTCCGGCGGGGGGAGGGGCCGGCTGATGACCTAACCGTCGCGCTGCGGGCGCCGTCCGGGAGTGCCTAAAGAGATATCTAAACTTATGTCGGGCGTGTCCCCCTACAGGGGTGTTTTCGACGAAAACTAAGAAATACCCCAAAAATACTCCAAAAAGGTAAAACAAATACTAAAAAAACAGTCCCCAGACTAGGTTTGGACTATTTTTTGATATTGTTGGGGATATCTTGCATTTTCCCTCGAAGATCCCCCTGTAGAGGGGACAGGCCCGACTTCAGTCTAAACCTGCTCAACCGAAAGGGTGAGGCTATCCGGGGAAGGGGGGGGGAGTCCGATAACCCGTGTTAGCGCCGGACCCTGGAAGGACAGCCTCTTGGGCAGATCGATTCGACAGTCGATCTCCTACCCGAGGAGGGTCGCGTCTTCAGTCCGCGGGCCCCAGGAAGTCTTGGCCTCTTGCCGGGGGAAAGCTTCTCGTCTAGGCTCCGCTCTCGGCCCCTGGGCCCGACGACTCCCGCCCACCCACACTACCTTGAGGCTGGACATGAGGAACAGCGCCGCGATCGAAGCACACACGCCATCAGAGTATATATATGTATATATATGTATATATATACATATATATATATATATATATATATATATACAGACACCCTCCGACAAACTTTGCATGTGCCTTCAGGGAGGGTGGCGGTGTATAAAGTCGCTGGCTCTCAGTGGTGATTTACACACCGTCACACTCCTCTGAGGCCCAGGAACAACCCAATGGAGGGTGCATGTGTATTCTGCGGCGGAGCACGGAATAAGAACGCTGGAAGGACAGGGACAAGGGGCACGGTCAGCTCACAAGACGTGCGATGCCTCGATGTTTTCGATGAGGCCCCCCCAGGAGATCCCAGCCCTGCTGGGCGTCAAGCACAAGTGGGGGGGAAGGCTTCTTAGATCGAGGCTGCTTCGTAGAAGGCGCCAGCCCTATGTCTATAGACAAGGCCCGCGCCTTCTGAGAAGCAGGAATGCTTCTGACAAGCCCTCCCCCCTCCCCCTACCCCCTTTGCGCGTGGCTGACAGCCCTTCCCCGGGGCTGGTTCCTCTTCAGCTTCTGTTGGGAGGCAACTACTGGGAGGTTCTCGTCGAAAAAAATATGGAGGATCAAGCCCCATTTGGGAGCTGTTACGCCGGAGTGGGCCACGGATTGAGCGGGATCAAGCCGGATGAAGCGGGATTAATATGCGGGATGAAACGGGATGAAGCGGGATTAGGCCAGATCATGCGGGATTAGTATGCGGGAGGAAACGGGATGAAGCGGGATTGAGCCGGAGTATGCCGGATTTCGGACCAGGGCAACATCAGAAGTTGACCTCCCAGGAGATGCACCCGAACTTCTGTCAGGTTGACGTGCATTGGAGGGGGGAAGGGGGAGACGTGGCGAGGCCCCGGAAGCGAATCTGGACTGCACGAAAGCCGGGGCTCCCCTGCACGCCTCTCTCTGGCCCGACAGTGCTGCAAAAGAGCCAGCGGAGAGAGGGGGGGGGGAATGCCAGGCAGGAGGAGGGGGGAATGCCATGCCAGTGGACCTGCTTGAGCTTCGGGAAAGACAGGCCCTCCTTCATGACGCGATCATGTCTGGGATGCGACCCTCGACCCTGGTTTCCAGGGGTCCCCTCGGAGGAGACAAGCGGACCACCGCCACCGAGAACCCATCGGGTCGGCTCCGCACAGATGGGTTATCGGTGGCGGTGGTCCACGCTTCTCCTCTGACTCGGGCATGTGGCAATGGGGGGTGACCTCAATGGGGGGAGAAGAAAGGGGCCCGTCTTCCACCACCATGTAGGTGACTGCCCACTGCCACCTGCCCGACCACGTCTCTCCTCCGATCTCCGCGGAGCCTCGTCCAACTCCGGGGCCCCGAACTTGGCCCAGCCAGCTCGGAGCGCCGCGGCCACGACGTGCTCGCTGCGCCCAGGGCCGCCGCGCGCCATGTTCTGCCGCGTCGGCCGCGGGGCCCCACCCCCTGGGAGGCAACTTTGAAAGGGGCTCAAGGACACACAACTGAATAGCCGCAAATTCCAGACTTCCGAACATGTTACATTTGTGTAAAAGCTGTTCGTCTTCCCCTCCACTTCCCATATTCTCTACATGTTCACGGGAATCGACGTGTATGTGTGCTGAACATATATATATATATATACACACATGTAGATTCCCCTCCTGAAGCTCCCTGGAGTTGAAGCCTGAAACTGAGGGGATCTTTCGGCCACCTAAGAAACCCAAGTAGCCCAAGTAGCCCAAGTATTACCGCTTTCACCGAGATCGGGATCATCTTCCCTCGGAGGAGGCACACTGCCGATACTAGTGTTGGTGCCAACCTGCAGGCAAACGACTGGGAGGTCTTCGTCAGAAAGGTTAATGGCTATTAAACCCGATTGGGGAACCATTGCGCCAAATCGGGCCGGATTTAAGCCTGGGGTGAAGACGGAGTCAGCAGGACTGGGCCGGACTGCGCCAGACTACAATGGATAAAGCAAGATTAGGGAGCCACATTAGGCCAGATGCCAACCAGGGATACAGCGCCGGTTCAGAATTCAACCTCTCAGGACCCCCCCTCTCTCTCCTCATCCGCCCTCGGCCATTTTGAGTGGTGCTTCGCGGTCCGCGGTGCCGCGGACCGTCGTCCTCCTGCAACCGCAAGCGGCAGGGCCGCGACCGCCCGCGGACGCGGGGCGGTTTTTCTTCGCGCGCGGGGGCCCCGCGCGCACAGAGAGCTCAGCTGGGCACCCACTGCCGGCGTCCAGCTCGGAGGCCCTTCGGGGGCCTCTGGGGGCCCTCCCGCGGTCCTCCTTCCTCTGCCGGGCTTCTGCGCGGTAGGTTGATGGCTGCGCTGACGAGGAGGTCAACAATCGAGCACCTAGAGTAAGACGAAGGAAGCCAGGACGAGGATAAATTCGGGTGAGGATAAATCGAGAATCTCTCAGATCTTGCGGCTCTGAAAGATGTCTCGGACTCCGCAGCCTTCTCAAGCAATCCAGAACGCTCTAAGAGCGTTCCAGAACGCTCCGGAACGGACTTGTCCTCCTCCTGGCCCCGTCCGAAGCAAAGCACTTCCATGGTGAGCACAAGGGACACCCACGACCTCACCACCATTGGGAGGCAGGCCAGTAGTCTGCAAGGCAGGAGCGTATGGTGCCATTTTGAACACGCTTGCCATCTAAGCACACAGCCTCCAAGTAAGCTCAGGATCGAGCCGATTCGGCGGCTGGCGACAGAATAGGCCCTATGCCCAGAAGGGAGACCTATGGAAGCGCTTCTCCTACCCTCCTCTGCCGTTTTTCCTCCCTGTTCTTGGTGTGAGAGCGGAAGGAGAGGGAGGGAGTACGTCAGTGAGGCTATGCATGCTGATGTCCCTCTGGTGGTGCAGTACCGGTGCCCATGGGTTTCTCAATCACCGAAGCATCTCCAGCACCCTCCCTTCCCCTCTCAGAGTCTCTCCGATGCTTCAGACTAGGTACTATGTCCAGTACCGGGCCTTCGATGCGAGGCTGTCGTGGACGCTCCAGCCGCAAAGACGGCCTGTCGTGGTGGCGGCGCCCTGATCCCGAGGAGCATAAGAAGAGGGGGGGGGATCTCGCCATGGATGTCAATTTCCCGTACATTTGTCGGTTTCGTGCGTGTTGTTTTTGCTCGATGGTCCAGGATGGTCCTCGATGGTCCTCGCCAAAGAACAAATGCACAAGTCCGAGCGATGCCAAGGGATGCTCGGCCAGAAATGGGAGAGGGGCGCTGACCCCTCGAGCCACGACACCACGCGTCGCTGCTCGACCTCTCCCGTCCCTCGTGGGGCCGTTGCCGCACACGGTTTGTGCACACTGGCAGCCCGCACGAGTTGCAGAACACCCGGCCACCTGCATGGCGGCCCAAGACGGAGAAGCGGTCACGGTCAAAAAAACACCTAGAATACACGGCTCTCAGGGAGCAGCGACAACGACAGCCCCCAGAGGCCAAAACTGGCGGAAGAAAGCGTCTCGATTTGTTGGCGCCTCTGCTCGATCTCTTGTCGGCGAGCGGGAGTGAAGCGAAGTCAAGCGAACGGCTGAGTCGTGCGTGTGAGGCAACACTGGCCTGACTCACAAGAGGGTGTGGAACTCTCCCCGCCCCTGATTGAGATCCTTGTTCTGGGGACCGTCCCCTCCGCTCACGCATCGACGCAGCGTCGAACGTCCGTCGAATTCGGCCGAGCTGGACTCGAACTCGAGTTGCGTTGGCATCGAACCAGCTTGAAGCTGCGTGGGCCCTCGGAGAGCCCCCAAACGCACACCTGACCTGCCTCGGCGGCGAGAGAGGGGGGGGGGAAGCCAGAAGGCCTGGGCATCCTCGGACCCCTGGCCTCCCGAACAGCTCTGTGCGCGTCGTACGGAGCAGGCCCAGGAAGCTCCTCGGAAGTCCCGGGGCCTTTCGAGCCTCCCGAAGAGGCTCGCCTCAAGTCGGGCCTGTCCCCCTACAGGGGGATTTTCGACGAAAAATAAAAAATACCCCAAACAAAAATAAACTTATCCCAGTGCGACCCTACCTAGGCGTTGGAGCCCCTAGGAAAGCAGCATTAGTAGTAACAGTAAAGCTAAGCTAAAGCTAAGCTACAGCGAAGCTACAGCTAAGCTAAGGCTAAGCTAAAGCTAAGCTAAAGCTAAGCTAAAGTTGAGCTAAAGCTAAGCGAAAGCTAAGCTAAAGCTGAGCTACAGCTGAGCTACAGCTAAGCTAAAGTTAAGCTAAAGCTAAAGCTAAATCTAAAACTAAGCTGAAGCTAAGCTAAAGTTAAGCTAAAGCTAAGCTAACGCTAAGGTAGCGCTAAGCTGAAGCTAAGCTAAAGCTAAGCCAACGCTAAACTAAAGCTGAGCTAAAGCTAGATAAAGCTAAGCTAAAGCTAAGCTAAAGCTAAGCTCAAGCTAAGCTAAAGCTAAAGCTAAAGCTAATGCTCCCTGGGGACTTGGGGAACCGCGGGGCGGGGACTGGGGGAACCGCCCGGGCACTGTGCACTGCCGGGCCGTTTTAAGCTAAGAGAGTAAGAACCCTTCTGGGCAGAGCCTAGGTAGGGAACAGTACAGTATTGTTTTAGCCTGTAGCCGGGGACTATCGCCCTGTAGCCGCATAGCCTTATAAGAATCCTATAGCCCTATAGCCCTATAGCCCTGTATCCCAATGGTTCTCTAGGCCTATGGCCCTGTACCCCTACGGCCCTATAGCCATATAAATATAGCCCTATAGCCCTATAGCCCGATGTAGCCCTATAGCCCAATAGCCCTGTAGCCCTATGGCCCTGTAGCCCTATCGCCCTATAGCCCACAGGCCCTATTGCCCTATAGACCCATAGCCCTGTAGCCTTATAGCCCAAGAGCCCAATAGCCCTGTGGCCTTGTAGACCTAGGGCCCAATAGCCCAATAGCCCAATAGCCCTATAGCCCGACAGCCCCATAGCCCTAATATATAGCCCTGCAGCCCTATAGCCCTATATCCCTGTAGCCCCATGACCCTATCGCCCTATCGCCCTATAGACCTATGGCCCTACATCCCTATAGCCCTACAGCCGTGTAGCCCAATAGCCCTATAGCCCAACAGACCTACAGCCCTATAGCCCTATAGACCTATAGCCCTACAGCCCTATAGCCCTAGAGCCTTAAAGCCCAATCGCCCAATAGCCTTATAGTTATGTAGCCCTGTAGCCCTATAGCCCCATAGCCCTATAGCCCTATAGCCCTATAGCCCTATAGTCCTATAGCCCTCTTGCCCAATAGCCTTATACCCCTGTAGCCCTATGGCCCTATAGCCCTATAGCCCTCTGGCCCAATCGCTCTACAGCCCCATAGCCCTATAGCCCTATAGCCATATAGCCCTGTAGCCCTATAGCCATACAGCCCTATGACCCTATGGCCCAACAGACCTGTAGCCCTATGGCCCCATAGCCCTATAGCCCTACTACCCCTAGCCCTATAGCCCAACAGCCCAATAACCCTGTAGCCCTATGGCCTTGTAGCCCTATAGCCCTATAGCCCTATAGACCTATAGACCTATAGCCCTGTAGCCCTGTAGCCCAATAGCCCTATAGCCCTATGGCCATATCGCCTTGTAGCCCTATGGCCCAACAGCCCAATAGCCCTACAGCCCTACAACATCATAGCCCTATAGCCCTATAGCCCTATAGCCCTATAGCCCTGTAGTCCTATAGCCCTATGGCCCTATGGCCCTGTAGCCCTATGGCCCTATCGCCCTGTAGCCCCATAGACCTACAGCCCTATAGCCCCATATCCCTATAGCCTTATAGCCCGATAGCCCAACAGCCCTTAGCCCCTTAGCCATATAGCCCTATAGCCCTATGACCCTATGACCCTATAGCCCTACAGCCCTATAGCCCTGTAGCCTTATAGCCCAATAGCCCTAGAGCCCTGTAGCCTTATAGCCCTATAGCCCCATAGCCCTATAGCCTTATAGCCAAATATCCCCATAGCCTGTGGCCGTATGGCCCTATAGCCCTGTAGCCTTTTATAGCCCAATAGCCCTATAGCCCTACAGGCCCATAGCCCTGTAGCCCTGTAGCCCTATAGCCCTATAGCCCTATAGCCCTGTATCCCTTTAGCCCTATAGCCCTGTAGCCCTGTAGCCCTATGGCCTTATCGCCCTATCACCCTGTAGCCCTGTAGCCCTATAGACCTATAGGCCTATAGCCCTGTAGCCCTATAGCCGTACAGCCCTGTAGCCCTATAGCCCTATGGCCCTATAGCCCTATAGCCCTATAGCCCTATAGTCCTATTGCCCTATAGCCTCATAGCCCTATAGACCTATAGCCCTAGAGTCCTATAGCCTCATAGCCTATAGCCCTATAGCCGTATAGCCCTGTAGCCCTATGGTATAGCCGCCCTAGAGCCCTATAGCCCTATAGCCCTATAGCCCTACAGCCCTATAGCCCTATAGCCCTATAGCCCTATGGCCCTATGGCCCTATAGCCCTATAGCCCTGTTGCCCTATGGCCCTATGGTCCTTTCGCCCTG